GCAATGCCGGAGGTAGCCAAGTGGAAAATGAGTATTTGCAAAAGGTTGATGCTGTACGTTGCTATTGGTCCCGACTGGCAGGAGATGCGGAGCAGGAAGCTGCAGAAACGACAGCACCTAAGGAACCCTCACAGATATCAACACGACAATTTAAACTGGGCGCCGAACAACCACAGTCCACAATATCTTCACCAGCAACGGCACTAGCGCCTTCTAGTGAGCTCGACTACAGCAGCTACATGCCGCCCTCCATTGAGATTGTGGAGTTGGGGGATGGGGCCCAAAAAGCCACTATAGTTAGCGCCAATGTCAATGCCAAGCAGGAGAATAATCTTAACAACAATGCTGCTACTGATGACGATGATGATGCTGGACAGTTCGATCACATACGCTATAAGGTGCTCAAGTCACAACAGCTCATACGCAGCAACATTCTGACGGCACGCAACAAAAAGGAAGCGCAATTCGACGGACTCATACAATATCTGCAGGAGTATAGTTTTCAGGAACTGTTGTCCAACAATAATGTGGTTATTGTGGAGCCCGTCCGCACCAAAATCGAAAAGCCATTGACTGTGAACACAACTACTACTTCAGCATCGTCAGCATTGACAACAGCAACCACAGCAACCACAGCAACCACAACAACACCTGCCAAGCCCAGCAATAACATAAGCAACCACAAGGCCGTGAATCAAACGCGTCGTCAAGCAAGGCAACGCCAAGGTGGTGGCGGCGGCCTAAGGAGGCACTTCTTTTATCAGCCTGTGCGTGTCAATCGAGAGCTATACGAGGACGAGTTGCCCGATCCCGACACCGTACGCAATGTTCGTCGCTTTTTCGAGCAACACATCCTACCGACGCCCGGCCAGGGACTACTGGTGCAATCCCAAAAGTTCGGTGGCTCTGCTTGTCAGCTGAGCCCCAAGACAGCCAGGCGTGCGCGCAAATATCGCTACTTGACCATAGACACCAGTTACGGGAGCACTGGAAACTCCAACGGAGAGCAGCCCAAGGGCATGGACCTGCACACGGAGGAGGAACACCTACGACAGCAGCAGCTCCAACTCAAGACCAAGCACTGGGACAATGCCAGCCTGTCCAGCGGTATCTCCAGCGGTGATCTGTCATCTCCATGCGGTGAATGCCAGCACGATGGCGTCAAGGAGTCGCCCATGCTGGCTTGCAAGGACGTGCACGTACAGGACGTGGTTAGGCGGCACAATAGCAATGCGGCTAATGCAAAGGCGCGTGCCAAACTCAACCGCCGCACATGGTGTGCAGCTGTGGGTGTTGGTGGTGGTAACAGTTCAGGTGACTCCCGCTATCGTCAAATTTATGAACATAATTTGGGCCAGACTAATGCGGCGCAGCGTGCAACGACAAATTCAAATGGCACTGGCGAACAAGAGAATTTCTATGACGACGGAAACGAGGATGAGGATGAAGATGATGACGATGTGGATGATGTTGAACAAGACATGTGTGAATCCTATTATGTCAGCAATGTAAGTAGCGGCCCACAATTTCTTTTGTTCGTTCGCCCACACACTCATTGGTTTTTTTTGTTTGTTTGCTTGCTTATGCGCCAGGATTTGTGAATTTCGGAGGATTTTCGTGCGCTTATAGCTTATAGCCACTTCTCTCCCCTCTTGAAAATCCCGTTACCTCAACATACTTTGGCTAATTTATTTTCGGATCAGCTAACATATTATTGCGCATTCTCTGGTAGCTGCTCACTGTCCATACAGTAATTAATCTTTGATTAGTCAGCGTGACTTTACGCTGGTTTTCTTTCCAAAAAAGAAAAATGTATTATCGACGTTTGCAAAGTTTTTGGCTTTCTATATCAGCTATTTACTTTGTTCATACTCGTATATCAAAAACAGCGCATGTTCACAAATATTCCATCGCATAAACGTTACATATATACATACATATGTGCTCAGAACTTTATGAACCATTAACACTTGATGGTCGCACATTTATTTTTTGGGCCAGCCAGCTAACGATTTTTTTTTTTACTCGCACAGGACGTGCTGGCCAAAATACGCGAATGTGGCTCCACAGTGACCTACTATGGAGGTCGTGTGCTGGAGCGCACGGCGCATGCTGAAGCGCTTGCTGCGACAGCGCAGTCAAAGCAGAAGAACTCGACATTGTCGAATACACGCACACGGGTGCGTCAAATCGAGGCCTGCAATGTGTGTCTGCCAAGTCAAACCTGCGACCATCAGTTGCAGACGACGCAAAGGACGACGGCAGAGGATTCTTATCAAGGTGAGTGCTTCAATAACATAATTTGCGACACTAAGACAACTGAATAACCCACCCATCTTAGGCATAAAATTCAAGTTGGTCAAGTCAAACAGTTGCAGCAGTCGCCTCGAGTTGGCCGGCGCATCTGAGTCGCTGTCCATGCCTGCGGAAGCGGAAGTCGTTCGTAAAATGGTGCATCACTTTGAGGGTAATCAGACGCATACACATGACTCTAACTTGACAATAAACAGCCAGAGTACGACAAAGGGCATGAGCGATGGGCAGGAGGAGAAGGCGTTGCAGGATCAGGCACGACAAGTGACAGTAAATAATCACATCAATGTGCTTAGGGAAGCGACGACAGTGGCGCCTGTCGAGGCTCAGCTCAACAAATGTGAAAACTTTAATGGCCAACATGACGCTGATAAGCAGGCGGAAAAAACGACAGCAACATATCAAAGTCAGGCCATGAACATAAGCCTTGATGTGAGGGCTACGATTGCTGATAATTCCAACAACATAATCAACAATGGCAGCGGCAAAATTTGCCGCAATAAAAATGTTGACTTGGCCTACACAATGGCCAAGCAGCAGGCACACCAATCCCAGCCGCAGTCCCAACAGCAACTCCCTCCCGGGGGAATTGTAAGTAAAGCCATTGGTACACCAAGCACGCCCAATGGCAATCAGTGGGCACAAGCGCAGAAAATTGGAAAACAATACACCGAAGTCCAAGTCGAGCCCAAAACGGAGCGACTAAGTTTTGGGAACACAACAACGACCACCACGGCCACGTCCACGACCACGTCCACGTCCACAACGAAAGTTGTCAAGCAGCCGGAAATTATGAACAGAGCACAAATCATTGTGCCCGTAGAGATTCATCAGCACGAGCGCAGGCTGAGTAATGCCAGCAGCAGCGCCTCCATTGTGGACAAGAGTGTGGTGCGTCAGTACGTGGCCAATGACAAGAGTTTGTTCGAGAAACGTAAATACGATGACATTGAATTCGAGGAATTCGAGGTGTACGATCCGCTTAAGGATCCGGAACGATTAGCGCAACAACAACAGCAAAAACAACAGCCAGCAGACTTGCCTCCCGATTCGGAGCTCTATGACAGTCTCGACGACAAGTTGTGAGAAGTTAAGAATGCTCAATATATACATAGGTGCAACGACTTTTGGGTGTGGGTATAAGGATAAGCATAAACATTATATACACATACTTATATTAAATACTTAAACTAAAGCCTAGCCACTAGTTATTTGTAAAGCCAAAACATATCCAAAGTACTTACAAGTAGACGCTCTAATAGCTTCTCTATCGCTATATTTTCCGATGCATATTTTAAAACATAAACTGCACAATTTATGCGCTACATAAATGTTCAAAATATGTTTGTAAAAAATTAAACAATTATGGTAAATAAATTTGCGAGTTATTTAACGATCTGTGGCAGCTGTCAATTAATTATTTACGATTCATAATACACATATTATATTTATTCAATCACCAAGCCGCACAGAACCCAGCCTGCCAACTATTTCATGCGTGTTAATTGGCAAAAATTTCCATTGGCATGGCGCCCAAAGAGGGCCACAAAATCGAAGGTCATTCGCCAAGCGGCTTTGAAAGAAATAAGGGGGAGATAATTTGGACATGCGGGATTTAACTCGCATAAAAAGACTAGCCATGTGTTTGACATGAGAAAGGCAACCACAATGCAGGTATGTTTATCCGCCCGATTATAAGCCACAAATCATTTGGCTAAATCTGCCACTAATGGCCATTTTATATGGTGGAAAATATGTACGGATAAATTATTTCTGGCAAATAAATTATTACTAATAAAACAAGAAACGGCATTAATACTTTTTCAATAAAATTTTAGAATGGCAAAAAGATGACTTCATTAAAAATGAGTAAAGGTTACACTTTTTTAAACAATACAAATATACAAAAAAGAAAGTTTACTAACGAAAAAACTATTAACGTCAAACTAATATAAAAAGGCGTTTTTACGAAGTTTTAAGCTAGCAACTATCACCAAAATAATCCGGACTTTTTTATATTCTTTTTAAATACAAAACAATTAAGAAAAATGTTCCTAAATCCTAAGTCAAAGTGCTTTATTTTTCAATGTTCTCTGAACATATAAACTCACCATATTTAGCTCTATATTCTTTCATGAAACATTTTGCCCTTTTTTCTATGAGAGAGCCACCAAAGTCAAGGCTGCCATCGCTTTTAGCATCTGTTAAAGCGGAATGAATATCAAAGGCACGAATTGCATACTCAAGGGATCGCTGGGGTGGAGACACTCACCTTTCCTATCCTTTGAAATACTTTGAGTTTGCCTCACTTTGCATATTTCATGCTCTGATTTCTTTTGCTCGGATTTGATTTCGCATTGCTTGTTTGTTTCTTTGGTTTCATGCTTCAACTCGCTAGGCCTATTTTCTTCACATTTCACAATTTCTTCAGGCATTTCTGCCTTTGTTTCACCTTCTTCTTCTTTTATTTCTTGGTCTGCAAAATACCGAGCTCAAATGGATAACAAACCAATACCAAATAGTTGAGGTTGTAGCAATGAGGCAGTATTTTGTATTTTGCGTACAAAGCAATCATACAAAAGAACCAACAATTTTCAAGTAGAAACGCACGTACATACTTCAGTAAATATGGTAAGCCCGAACCGAAAAAGCAAAAACAAAAGCACAATCACTTGTTTGCTGCTTACCTCCAATTGGTGGCTGCTTCCTCCTCCCGCTGTCATCGTCACTCGTCGAGGACGCATAAGTTCTGTGGCCAGGTCGCAGGTGCTGAAAAGTGAAAGACAATAGGGAGAAGCTGATGAGTAAGACATTTGCGTGAAGGTGTAAGTGCAAATTAACATTAATGGCCCTATTAACATTATTTCACCTTATTGATTGTGGCTTAAAAAGACCATAGATCTTATGGGAACACCTTTGCCGCAGCCATCAAGCAAAATATGTCGAAAGTACTCGCCGAAAATATAAAACAAAAATTATAAGCAACATAGGCAGCAAGAGCCAGAGGATGAAAAACAAAGACAGCGTCAATGTGGCGGTGTTTACATTTGTGTGTTCGTGTGTTGGTGGGTGTGTGCCATCCTTGCTCCTTCCTTGTTACTCCTATACTATAGCTGTACCTAATTAAGTTAAAATGCTCCCCTGCGAAATCACGTGCTCCACATAACGAATAGCGAAGCACACAGCAGACGATCCGAAGCAAAAGGGCGGCTCAGAAAATGGAAAACGGCATGCGTAAATACAGTTATTGTTTGAATGGAGCCGCACAACCTGTACTACTTTTTATGCTCTTTCCCATTTTTGCCGCCATTTGGATGGGACCAACACGGCGTATGAGCTATCAGAAAAACACGCAGAAGTCAAAGCGGCGCCAAAGGCTCCACAACTGTTTAAGTTTTGTAATTCACTTAAATTGAAAGCATATCAGCGATTTCAGTAAGTTGTTCATATTGAAAGTGCATTTAATAAATTTTAGTCGCATTCAAATCAATCAAATAATTTGCTGTTCATATTCGCAAATAGAAACGAATAAAATGATTGTATATTAAAATACCTAATTCATATATGTTTTCAATTAGATAAATACTTCAACTCATTTTAATATACCCCATCTGTTTCATTTTGAAAATAAATATTCCCGAACAAATATTGGAAACATTTTGGTTTAAATTAATTACTTGACTGTAATTAATGGCAACTATTTTTATCTATAATAGGCATATACTGTCCGCGTACCGATAGGGGGATCCTTTAGACAAGAAAGCCTTTATTCAAACTTTTAATAATACGTAAAACACATTGGGGAATTTTACCTGCAAGCTCCGGCCAGTTACACTACAATTCACAGCCAAATAAAAATCATTTTTAAATAGTTGTAAAATGTGTTAAAACTACAACATAAAAAATGAGTAAAACGCAAATAAATGTTTAATAATATTAAATCAAGAAATATAATACAAAATACTGAAAATTTGTTGACCCATTGGGGATACATTTCTTAGCTTTTCTCTTTTCTCTCAAAAAAATAAAGTCAAACACAAACGGAGGTCTATATCGTAAGTAGATAGCGCAATGACTATAAAATAATGTCAAGTACTTGGCTTTAAATTGTACACATTTACCTCATTTAACAGCAAAAATATACGCAATAGCTATGATTCAGTTGACTGAATGAATAAATTGAACAGAATTGCAAGAAAATGATTTCTCAAAACCGAATGCTTCAATTGGAACTCACAAGACTTCCATTTCAAGCGTATTTCATCTGCGGCTTACACTTTGTTTTTTTCTTTTTTTGTATGTTTCATGTCCTGTTCTCGCTTTGGGAGTTGAAAATGAAATCGAGACTGTTACTGTTTACCTTGCCATTTGCCCAGCTGCCGACTCTAGAACTGAGTCGTGACTACATACTAGATATATATGTATGTATGTATATATATATGTGTGTGTATGAATATATGTAAGCAGAATATGAAAAAAAACCATTGCATAATTTTAGGGCATGTGTATACAGCTGTGGCTGAGTGTGTGCGTGTGTCTAGCTATCAGCCTGTACAATGTTGTGTGGGTGTGTTTACTGATTGGATTTTACGCTCGAGCTCAATCAAGCGTTTCAATAATTCAGCATGGCAATTTATATTGAAAAATACATACCGGAGCACGGCAGCAATAGAGGGGATGCCTTGAGAAATTGAATTTTAAATAGCGAATTGAAATGGCATTGGCAACGCTGATTGTAGCGAAAGCCAATTCAAAACAGCTCATAAATTATGAGCGCCAAGGGCACTGCTCTAACCCCTTACAACGACGGCCAAACCGTCATAAATCACTGTTCCGTTTTTGTTTTTCGCGGTTAGAGTTGTGATTTGTTTTTCCCACGAGCTTGTACAAACTTTCATTATTGATGGTGCTCGTGAGCCTGTCAGACGATGACATTTTGACAGATCATTATGACAGCTACAACATGCAGCCGCGATTCTTGAACGGGCGCCCACTCAAGACTTGAACTCGGGAAACTTTTTCATTGCAAGCACTTGCCCCAAAATCAAGTTTTTATTTTCGCCAATATTGCACTAAGGTTTTGCTCAACTAATGACCAAAAGCGGTCGCTCGTCAATATACATCAAATGATTAAATGTTCATTTGAAGAGGCAAACAAAAAGTTGGGCAAGCTGGCCATAAATTCTAAGCTGGGCGAGCAAAGGCAACGCCTTAAAGTATACTTTAACGAACTTAACGAAAAGCTTTGGCCTGCGGCCCGCATGTAAAAGGTCTGTTGTATGTGTGGGTGTGTGTGACCAAATGGCAAAAGTTTTTATGACAGCAGAGCAGGCAAACAAACAACCAGGCAGCAGTAACAGCAGCAACTGCCAGAGAACTGTCCGACAACAGCAGCCGGTGGAAGTAAATTGAAATCACAGCCGCTTACAAGAAAACTGCTGTCTCTGCTCAAATGAAAATTAAATTTCATAAATTACACCTGCTGCTGTGGCAGCAACTGGCGCAGCATTCCGAGGCACCTCCGCGACACTTGTACAAATCATTTAAACTTAATTCGTGTTCGGGGGCCAACTTTAAAGGCAAGCCAAAAGCCGTTGGTTATCAGCGGCTGAGCAGCGCAAACAACAAAGAGTCCTGCGTTCCGCTCACATTTGTGCGGGGCGTTGTCTTTGCTGGTTGTCTTCCCTCATTTGCCACGCACAATGCGGCAACATGTCGCAGGAATATCTTCATAATGTGCTCAACAATGTGACCACGTGCGTGGTGCCGAGGGCGCCAGCAACTGCTCTTGTAGAAATTATTGTTGTTTTTTGTGGTTGTTGTGTTGCTTTGGCTGCTGCTGCTGTTTCTTCGTAGTCGTGAGCCACTCAAGCTAGAGTTGAGCAGAAGTCGTGCCTTCATTCGTGCTGAATTTTTAGGAAATATCAACATCATTCTAAGTTACGAACAAATTGTGGCTAACATTTCCTACTACTACCTATGCGTCTACATATATATATCAGTATTAATCAGGAAACCTTATTAAGACACTAAACTAAATGCAACATGAGAATCATGAGAGAATGCATATATGCATTGGAAAATAAATCAGTCGGTGTCCCATTGACAAAATTAGAATGCAGAAAACATAGTGTAGTTTTTGCAGTTCATACAAGTATGTAAAGGAACCCCAACGCACTAGCGAGACCGCTGCTCCCCAGACCCAGGAAGAAAAGACTGAAGAAGTGCCACCCAAAGGATCTCCCCACGAGATCCCTTGTGTAAAATATATATAAAATATATAATATCATAAAAATTTTTTCATATTTAATCTAAAATATTGTAAATATTCCATTGTATATACACATAGATGTAAGTGCGTCCTATAGATGCAAGGAAGGACTACACTGCCATAAGATTTTGGTGACCCAGGAAGCGCAAATCAAACAACTGTCAGGACGCCTTAAAAAGATTCAAAATGTCATACGAGTAGCTGCAAGAGAATGTTCATCATTGTAAGTTTATACGCTCAGGCAGACTTAGAGTTTCAATAAAGTGAAAAAATTAAATGGGTAATTCTAAGCCGACGAGTCTCATTTATTCATAAAGCAATTAAAAATGCTGTATATAACAAACTTTTTGTTACATTTAATTTTATAAATTTGTTCGATATTAACATCAGCAGAAAAACTTTTATTGGAGACAAACAAAATATGCAAAGGAGAACTTTTCAAAATTTGAAAAGAAACAAGCATGGGTCGATCGATCAGGAATATGCATATGTAGAAGAAGAACAAAGAAACATTCAAAAATGTCTTTCAATTATTCGTTGCTATAAATCAGTAGACTTAAATACAAAATACATTGGAATATTCAAAAATTGTTTGTGGTATCTAAATCAAAAGAACAGCAAAAATTATGCCGGCTAAAATATATATCTACATAAATATATATAAATCTTTTTACATCTTTGTATTTGTAGCCGGCATTTATTTGGTTTTTTGAGGCGAAAAATGCTGCATATACACATAATTAATGAGCAAATTTACTTGTCAAGTCAAAAATATACAGTTAGTTGCATGAAATATTAAAAATTTGAATATATATACATACATATACTTGGCAACTATAAGAAAAAGTAATTGGTTTCATAATTGGGTAGGCAAGTAAAGATTTCAACCAGCTGTGGGATTATCTCTTTTGTTTGTAATATTTAACGTAATATTTTTCTGTAAAAAATTTTACCGTTTATTTGTTTAAATATGTGTGTTGCTTTGCACCTTTTATTGGATTAAAATACTACTGCAAGTATTGTTTCTATTTTCAAATTTTAAATATTATGTTACCTCCTTTTCTCTCAGAACTGTGATTTTTTGTCCATCTCTAGCTGTGCACAATAACTGTCACAAAAAGAAGAAGGAGGAGGCGGAATAACAAACGAGGCAAGTGGACAAAAGGTAAATGGGCAACGGTGACGCCACACAGCAGCTCTTAGCAATAACAATGACAACACACTAAATGTGAAAGTGTAAGCAGCAGCCTGGCATATAATCGAGGTTGTGCCGCCCTCCCCCTCCTCCCTCCACATAACTGCCTACCCGAGCCGGCGGATTGTTGGCAGCCCTCGACATCGCTTGTCTGCCTGTAGAAGACAATGTGCATTTTGCATAATGTTGCGGCATTTGAGGCGCATGTCAAGCGAATGAACGAGCGGAGGAGCGCGTTGTCAAGTTTGTTGTTGTTGCCCCCTTTGAGTGCTTGTTGGCAAGGATGTTAAGCATTTTTTCTCT